TTTTTCTACCTTAATGAATGGCTACTACTCATTCCTCATCATTTAAATTCCACGCTTATGGACTCCAACAACACAACATAAATGCAATGTACACTACGTACTACCCTTAACTGTAAACAAATATTAATTATTGGGGTTTATACCTCTGTCAAAAAAGATTTGATATGCTTAAAATTTTACATCCATTTGCTGCTCTTTATGGTAAAACATGCATAGAGGAATGAGTTGTTTCGTCACATCTTGATGTCATGCTTCTAGTATAATACCATGTACGTTGGACACACAAAGTGCAACCTGCAACGTATTCCCCAAATTAGTTTTTCAATAAACTTTGTAATGCTAGACCTTTTATGTTGCCATTTTTTTTTATCGTACTTATCTTCAAATTTCATATTTTGTTCCAAACATGACTTGAACCTTAGACCTTTGTTCCTTTTGATTATTATTTTTTTTTTGTAAAGAAACATAGTATCTTTGTCAAAAACTCGAATAAAAGCAAAAGTTATAACTTCCGAATTTCATCTAAAACTTACCAACTAGTGATTTTCAAATAGTTTTGTCAAACATGTCAAATACTTTTTGGTAGTTTCTTAAAACCAAATTGTTCAAACGACAATTTGGATTGGACAATATGTCGAGTATTTAAAATTTTGTATTATTTTTATACTAAATAAATAAAAATTATTGATCAAATTGTTGTTGTTGCTGTTGATGTTGATGATGATGCTATTATTGTTGATGTTGATGATAATGAAGTTGTTGTTCTATTATTATTATTATTTCATTTATAGCAAAATTCAAAAGAAACAAAAACTATTATATTTTAGAAAACACCAACTCTACTCTATTCCTATTTCCTTCCAAAGTCCAAACCATAAAAATATATAGAAGTCGTTACTTGTTATTGTTAACTTTTTCTTTTTTGGTTATTGTTAACTAACTTCATTGAACCATTCATTTTTCCTCATCTAATATCATTGTTTAATTCAACAGATTTTTCTAATTCTTAATTTATCAACCGTAAGTTTTTATCTTATATAACTTAAAAGTTGAGGATCAATATCATAAAATTATAAGCAAGTTCACCTAAATAGCTCAAAATTTTTAAAAAGATTTATCACCTAGATTTCATTTCGTTTTAATTAAGTAGCTCAATCTTAAATATTGCTTTGCTTTTATGTAAAACAAATTTTATTTAACCCGACTTAGGCTAAAACTTGTAAAAACAATTATTTTACTTATTTATTTATGAAGATCGTTATCTTCTTTTTCCCAACCCGCACATACATGCAATGATGCTATATTAGTTTCTAGAAAAGGGATAATGACTTAAAAGGGTAATGTAATTTTTGATTTGTACATATTTGGTCACTGAGTTTTTTTTTCCGTCCACATTTACCCCTTCAACTTGTTAAACTGTACACATTCAGTCCTTATGACCGGCTACTCCAGGTTAACCGGGAAAAATGACTTAATAGGGTAATATATTTTTCATTTTGTACACATTTAATCCTTAATATTTTTGTACATATTTAGTCCTTAACATTTTTTTTGTTTCAAAATAAGTCTTTTTTTGTACTCATTCAGTACTTATGAATGATTTCTTTAGATGTTTTCCACGACATCTTATGTGGGACAATCATTGATGTGGTGTTTGGGGTTGTTGATGCTTATCTCCAACGTGATTTCGACTGCTTTGTTGCGTAGATCTTGTGGTTTGGCTTAGGTTTTGTATTCTGAGCGTCGTAATTTTTTTATATGATATCAGATTTTGACGATCTTTATATCCATGTGTTAATTTTTTCATTAAGATTACTCCCGTTAAAATATAATATATTTTTTACTTACGATTTTATAAAAAAAAAACATTCATACATGCATTCATAAAAAAACGTATGAACAGGGGAGGGACGCAGGAATACATAGTAGGTGTTGCCAAAATGAGATAGATGTTGCTGATACATGAAAAATAGGTATAAACGAAAAGAAATCAAAAAAATTTCCACTGCAGACAGAAAAAATAGGTGTTGCCGGTGCAACACTGAGACCAGGCTAAATCTACCCTTGCGTATGGATATAAAAATCGTAAGTAAAAATATATTATTTTTTAATGAGAGTAATCAAAATGAAAGTTGTAGTAGACTAAAATATGAACGCATGGATATAAAGTTCGTTTGAATGGATATAAAGATCGTTAAAATTCGAGATCGTATGAAGAAATTATGACGTTCAGAACACATGACCTAAGCAACCAAGTAGTGGAGATCGCGATGGACATAAGCATCAAAAAGCCCAAACACCTCATTAATGAATGTCCCACATAAGATTTCGTGAGAAAAACCTAAAGAAATCATTCATAAGTACTGAATGAGTACAAAAACAAAAATGACTTATTTTGCAAAAAAAAAATATTAAGGACTAGATGTGTACAAAAATATTAAGGACTAAATGTGTACAAAATGAAAAATATATTACCTTATTAAGTCCTTTTTACCGGCTAACCTGGAGTAGTCGGTCATAAGGACTGAATGTATACAGTTTAACAAGTTCAAGGGGTAAATGTGGACGAAAAAAAAAACTCAGTGACAAAATGTGTAAAAATCGAAAAATACATTACCCTTTTAAATTATTATACCTTCTAGAAAATTACTTTAATTTGATATCATGTAAAACGCGTTTTTTATTAAGTAATTAATTTCTTTTCACCGGATGAGGTATTCCTATTAATCTATTGTTACGTCACCACCATAAACCCGGATTAGTTTTTTAATTATTTAATTTATTTTCTTCAATATTCAACCATCAAACTTTATCCACAAAAGTATGCACACGTAATACGCTTGTTAATTACATAATGGTTTACAATATATTAAAATTAAAATAAGACTAAAAACATATAAAATAAAACATATTTAATGTCATATATATATATATATATATATATATATATATATAT